ATAGATTTAAGTTTCACTTTCCATAATCCGTGACCGACAGAGGAGCATCTTGGCGGCAGGGATTTAAAACTTTAACAAGACTCAAACTGACACAGGCAGAGTGAAAGACTGGATTTTTTGGATCAGGTAGCGTACAAGTGATTTCAAAACATTTCAGCCGGTTTATATATATTGTGCATATTATTTATCTAGTATAAGATGCATTTGGTTGAGTTGTGCTGCAGTAAAGCACTTCATTGTAGTACTACGGTGATTATCTCTTCAGCGCACAGCGCGAGCAGGACAAACAACAATGCAGAATATTAATGACTGGGACTGTCATATACATAACAATTATAATGAGAACACGATTATAATAAAATGCTGAATTGTTGAATTTTTTGAGTTTAGTTGCTGTGTTTCTGCACGTTGTTGCGTGAAGAACGCGTCCGCAAAAGGAGTTCGTTAAGAGCCGCGCAGACACGTTCATGTGCATTCGGGGCATTTTGTGCAGATCGCCTATAAGTTGTAATATTAACGTTATGTTGTATAAATAACAAAGCGTATTCTATATGAGATAAATGATGAGTTAAAACCCATTGAATAAAAACCTGCTGCTTCATTCTACAGGTCATCTTCAGCGCGCAGCTCAAAACAGAAATGCAGAACATTAATAACTATTATCATATACATAACGTTATAATGAGAGCACTATTGTAAAAAAATTTTGTGAATTCTTAGGGTTTCGCTGACGTTTAATGTAAACTATCTTTTAATCAAAACATAAAACATTATTTACCCCGTTTGTATCTGCGATGCGTCCGTTACACATTTTCCTTCTGTGTTAACGTAATTATGACTGTCGAATGTCTTCTCTTGGTAATGTATTTTGCCCCGCCCCCAAAACATATTTTAGTCATATTCATATCAGTCGAATATCGGCAAGATTCGAAAATTCCGATTTGACTATGAAAATCCTTAGTCGGGGACACCCCAAATATATATATCTATAAAGAGACATGGATGGATCAATCAATCGATAGATTGATATGATGGATAGATGGACAAATAAAAAGAGGGATGGATGGATGGATGGATAGATTGACAGACAGATCAATAAATAGATAGATAAATATATAGAAAGATGGATGGACGGATGGATAGCTAGAACGATAGATAGATATATTGAAAGAGACATGGATGGATGAACTGATCGATAGATTGATATGATGGATGGATTAACAGATAAAAAAAGGGATGATGGATGGATAGACAGATCAATAGACAAATAGATATATAGAAAGATGGATGGATGGAGGGATGGAAAGATCAAAGATCAATTACTTATTTTAAACTCTGATACTGAAATAAGGAACAATAACATATGTTCACCTCGTACATGTGTGTCTTATTCCTTATCGTGTTACTTTTCACAAACCACTGCCCAAGGAAAATCTCATTAAGCACATTCACTAAGAGAGGCCATGAACTATGTATACCACGTTTATTTATAGCTAATAGACAGCGTAAGGACAGGCAATCAAGCAGTCTGGGTATTCACAATAACTCTTAATAGCACATTTAATCCTGAAACTGATTCCACTGTACCAAGGACTGATGACTGACAGACGCACTTCCTTGTGTTCCCTCCATCAAGTCATTGCTCAATTTATTTTGTGCTCTAACACAGATGTAAAGATTAATCTCTGCGCTTCGCTGAGATCC